ATTTTAAATTAATTTTAAATTTCAAAACTAAAAGAATCTACACAGAAGGCCTTTTTTTGATCATTTATGCAAATCAAGGCTTTGGATTAACATTATTCTGCAAGATTAACATGGTATATCGAATATTCAAACATTAATTCCATAGATTAATGTTTTCAGATGATCATTTCGTGAAAAAACATCGCCGGACGTTCGTTTGGTAAAAAAAGCGTCACCAGACATTCATTTCGCGAAAAAAGCGTTACCAGATGTTCATTTCACGGAAAAACGTCACTGGACGTTCAATTCGCAGAAAAAACAATTCGCGGAAAAAACGTCACCGGATATTCAATTCGCAGAAAAAACGTTACCAGACGTTCATTTCGTGGAAAAAATGTCACCAGACGTTCATTTCGCGGAAAAAACATCACCGGACGTTTCAATTTGCGGAAAAAACGTTACCAAACGTTCATTTTGCGAAAAAAATGTCACCGGACGTTCAATTCGCAAAAAAAATGTCACCGGACGTTCAATTCACGAAAAAAACATCTCCGGACGTTCAATTCGTGGAAAAAACGTCACTGGACATTCATTTTGCATAAAAACATCTCCAGACGTTCAATTCGTGGAAAAAATGTCACCAGACGTTCATTTCGTGGAAAAAGCGTCTTCAGACGTTCAATTCACGGAAAAAAATATCACCAAACGTTCAATTCGCGGAAAAAGTGTCTCTGGATATTCAATTCGCAGAAAAAACGTCACCGGACGTTCATTTCGTGAAAGAAAACGTCACTGGGCATTCATTTTGCAGAAAAAATGTTACCGGACGTTCATTTCATGGAAAAAAACATCATCAGACGTTTGTTTCGTGGAAAAAATGTCACCAGACGTTCATTTCGCGAAAAAAATGTCACCAGACGTTCATTTCGCGAAAAAAATGTCTCCAGACGTTCATTTCGCGAAAAAAATGTCTCTGGACACTCATTTCAGAAAACGTTAGTTCTAAATAAAAATTATCTAAATAAAAATTAAAATGATTGTTAATTTTTTTA